ACGTAAAGACTAATTTTAATTAATTAAAATTAAATGCAACATGAAATGAAAACTGATTATGTTAAATAATAACAATAATATATAAGATAATATACACGTTTTGTAATGTTCCATGTTATATAAAAGAATAATAATTTCCTCATATTTTCTTCGTTTATAAAATATAATATTGCATAAATAATAAAATAATAAATTCATAGAGTTTTCAGTTCTGTGAATTTTTCAAGTGATTAAATATTCTTATCAAAATATCAAAAGAAATTCTAATTAAAATTCAATAACACAAAATTTGTAAACAGGATTAAAAGAAACGAGGCTTAAACAAAGATTTGCCTCGTTCAAATTTCGCAATATCTTATCTTAAATATCTAATAATCTATCATCAATTTTTAAAAATCGTCAACATTTCAAAGCCTATAACCCTTTCATTTCTATCCTCCTATAAAACATTCGACCTCGAAAACTCGATTATTAATCCAGCATCCGGATATTTCGAATATTATCCCAACGAATCACCACACACGACATTCTATGAAAACAGAAGAATCGAACCGTAATTTCAAAACAAGTTCTTCGAACGCTTTCTCGAACAAGCATCGACGACCCATCTCCTTCCGCTGTTCAATCGTTCTCAACGAATAGACGCTAATAGTCAGGGAGATTTCGGTAAATTCAGTTGGAAATCGGGATCGATCGGATGCCAGTCACCGACACGTCGATGCCCGCAACAAAAATCCTTAGATCTGGGTCGCAAGGAACGATCCTCCACATATACACTTCGAATGCTTCGAATAGAATTGCGGAACATTCTTGACGTCTGTGACGGAGCTATTGAAATTAAACGGCTGTGTACAAGCTTACGGTGAGACCTGTGGCCTCTCACTGTGTTAGACACCTTCGGTTGTCGGTTTCTACATACCTGCGGCGGTGTCAGTTTTGCAGCTTTCTTCCCCAACTATTTCGAACACTCGAACGGGGAACGACTTCCGTCGGATTAGATCGGCTATCCACCCCTCCCCTTTCCAACCACTTTCCCTCCGCTGCGAGCTTTCTTCGCGACCGAATTCCAGCGCGGAATCTCGATGCACAATGAACGATGACTTGCGGACTGGGATTTGCGATTCTGCTGGTGCAATTGTGGATGTAATATATATATTCGTATTCTTGGGATGGTATATGCATTTTGAAGATAGATTTCGTATAGATGCGATGTTGTACGTATTTCAATACGATGGAACGATAGATATAAAAATGATTCGATACTGGAAAATACATGTTTCATTATGCTGTTAATTAGGATTATTTATTTTTATCAGTAGCCGAGATGTCGTACTTTCTTTCTACTGTCTCTCTATTATTTCAATATTCTAATATCCGAACTACTAATTGAATTCTATTATTCGAACTGCTTGACTATGTCTACTTGCGTCAATGTAAACATCAATCACAGCGGTGGGAATAGAATTTAATTTGAAATTGATATTGAATACGTTTGCATGGGATATATCTACAATGTGTTAATTATTGGAATGGAAATACTTAAGAAAATAGAAAACGGTGTTACAAGTGTTACAGGATACAGTAAAAGAATATAATATAATCCATAATCGCTGAAATTGAAAATTATTTGCAAGAATGTTAAAATATATATTCTCCAAGGACATATTTTCCAATAGAAGAAGTTTAAGAAAATTTTTCATCAAAAATACAAAAAGATTAATCTTTTTACTGTCAAAACTTTCTTAATTAACGTAATCATCTTACAATATATCCTACCCCCTAATCTTTTTTTATTTTCAACAATGAATAACTTGATCATTTGTAATTAATATAACAACTATCGTTCAATCACGATATATCGTGAAGCGACTTCTTTTTATTCTTATTCATTCCAGTGTACGATAGATTTCCTTCGTTCTCAAGAGGAAAAAAAAAAGTCTTATCGATCACCTCTATCCACCTCTACCCACTTAATTCTTCCTTTTTCCACAAGGTTAAAAAAAAAGAAATTCCTCTTGAAACCGGCCATTGAAACGCGATCTTCGTTCGTTACAGATGTTTCAACGAGTTCGAGCAACTTTTCACCTTTCCACCCCCATCTCCAGTTCGAAACAATAAATAAACGAAGCTACGAATTCAAGTTTTTCAACGTGGTGGATTTTTCAATCTCTTCCTCTCCATATTCTTTCCTTTTTCTTTCTTCTTTTTTTTTTTTTCTTCCTTCCTTTCTCTCTAGTTTCGAATAAATTATTCTAAATTTCACGACTGAGGATGACTTCCGGCGATTAGAGAGGGAGATCCGCGAGATTCTTTGCGCGGAAATTCGACAATGCCAGCAGGGAACGACTGGACGAGCAAGAAACGACGATATCGTTGGAGAGATAGCGTGTAATAAGAATAATTGTCGGCCGATGTTTTATGCATCGTGATGATTTCGCATTCAACTCTGAGGGGAAAGAAGAAGTAACGTTTACTAAACTTTCTTGCTGTGGCAATATTAAATCGTTAACAATTTCTTCTGCACAGCCTCTGTAGCCCTCTTGATGAACTTCTTGATCCACGTCGTGCAAATTTGTTTTTACACAGAGTTTTTACAGTATAGTTTTTTCTCGTTTCGCTGATCCTCGTCGTCACTTGGCCAAGGAAGTAAAAGACGCGTTAATAAATGAATATTTCTGCGTATCTTTGTGCAATGGTTATTTGACTTGTTGGTTGTTTCTGGAATGAATGAATTCAATTTGAAAGCAAATGAATACGTAAGAACGTCTTATAGTAATATATTCTGCAATGAAATTAATATTATTTGGGATATTTTAGAAAACATAATGTTTCATGTTTGGGATAGAGTTTCATTTTTTATTGGGAAATGTTATTTAATTTAACTTCAATACATTTTAAACTCGATCAATTATTATTATTATTGCGAATTATTATTGTAAAGAAAAAAGATGTTTACAAAATTTTCTTTTAGATAGAGAAGTATCTCATTTTTTTTAATAATATTATTAATATATATATTGACTATATCTAGTGAGAAAAAGCAATTATAACTTTTTGAATAATATTAATTTTATCAATGAATAAAATATGATATCAAGAAGTTTATATATGTTACTAAATTTTATATTATCTAATATAAATACTAATATATCGAATATAATATCTTTTGATAAATTACATTTATCGTAAATATAATGACATAATCGTTAAACTTTATCAATTTTGTGAATAATTGTTAATGATGTTGATTTAATTGCATTTATTAATTTATAATGTATATTCTTTCTAGAAACAACTACAAAACAATTAATC